ATTAATTATGGCCAGGTGTGGTGGCACACACCTTTAGTCCCAGCACTTGAGAGATAGAGGCCGGTAGATTTCTGTAAGTTTGAGGTCAGACTGGTTTACATAGTGAGATCCTGTCTCCAGAAAATAAAGTCATGTTGCTGGGCATGGTAGCTCATGCCTATAATCACAGTACTGAGGAGGCTAAGACAAGAGGATTGGAGTGACTTTGAGGTTAGTCAGGGCTACATCCATCTAAACTTAAAGACCAATCGGCATAGTGGCATGTGCCTTTAGTCCCAGCACTCAGAGGCCAAGGCAAGCAGATCTCTGTGAGTCTGAGGCCAGCCTGGTCTACATGGGGAGTTCCAGGCCAGCTAGTGCTACATTGTGAGACCCTGTCTCAAAGAAAGAAAAAAAAAAAAAATGGCTGGAATGTGTAACTCAGTGGCAGAGTGCTTGCCTAGCTAGTATATGAAAGGCCTTGGGTTTAGTCTTTATCTCTGCAATAGGTAGCCTACATAGTGGATTCAAGTCAAGACTAGCCTGAGGTACAGTGTGAGACTGTCTCAAAAAGCCAAAATAATAAAATTGTTACAAAGTATCTGATTAACTAACTTTTTTGGTACTGGGGTGGGGGGAATTGAACCTACCATTGAGCTACATCCTTTTGCTAATCCAGTTTTATACCTAAATAAACTTGAGACTCAGATTAAGCCATTTCCCAAAGAATCTCACTTGATAAATTACAAAACTGAATATGCAGGGCATAGTGGCCCATGCTTCTAAATCCCAGCACTGGGAGATGGAGGCATTCAAGATCATCCTCACCTACATATAGAGTTTGAGGCCAGCCTAACTGGTAACTGTGTGAGACCCTGGGTCATGACACAATAGCAACAAAATTACAATACAGAGTCAAACCCAGATCTGTCTGATTCCAAAGCATGTACCTTATAGTCTTCCTACAGACAGCCCTGGGTTGCGGGTGATGACCATGAACTGGAGAACTGGAAAGGCAGAGCAGGAGAGCATCCTCATGTGTAGCATCCTTGAAGCCCTGGGTTCAGTCCCCAGAAACACTCGCACATAGACACACACAAGAGACACACTGACCCACAGAGGAAGTTTGTGCACTGGTGTGAAAAAAGCTGGGGCCATGCTAGCAGTGTCCCAGGAGTGGCTATCTGTTGGTGTCCTGGGTGCAGTGGGCCAAGGTTGCCTGGCCTTCTTCCTGCATCTCTCCCCCTGCAGGCTGGTACAGAAGGCAGAGCTGGTTCGACTATCCCAGACCCTGAGCCTGGTGCCCCGGCTACACTGGCTGCTGGTGGAGGATGCTGAGGGCCCTACCCCGCTGGTCTCGCGGCTGCTCGCTGCTTCTGGTCTCCTCTTCACACACCTGGCTGTCCTTACCCCAAAGGCTCAGCGGCTCCGGGAAGGCGAGCCAGGCTGGGTCCGGCCCCGAGGAGTAGAACAACGCAACAGGGCCCTGGATTGGCTCCGGGGCCGAGGGGGTGCTGTTGGGGGAGAGAAGGACCCACCTCCACCAGGGACCCGGGGAGTCGTGTATTTTGCTGATGATGACAACACCTATAGCCGGGAGCTCTTTAAGGAGGTGAGCCCTGGGATGAGGCTGGAGAAAGGCCAGATAGCATCAGCTTCATCCTTAACATTGCTTACCAGTGTTGCTGTTGGCTGCTGGATGAAGTTGGGGAGCAGGGAGCAGCCTCAGTAAACCAAGTGTTTTTTTCCTCCTGGCCACCCCTTTGTTTCTTCTCTCCTGGTCTCCATTAGATGCGCTGGACTCGGGGTGTCTCAGTGTGGCCCGTGGGGCTGGTAGGCGGCCTGCGATTTGAGGGTCCTCAAGTACAGGATGGCCGGGTTGTGGGTTTCCACACTGCTTGGGAGCCCAACAGGCCCTTCCCCCTGGACATGGCTGGATTTGCTGTTGCCCTACCCTTGCTGTTGGCTAAGCCCAATGCCCAGTTTGATGCTACTGCACCACGGGGCCATCTGGAAAGTAGTCTCCTGAGTCATCTTGTGGATCCCAAGGACCTGGAGCCACGAGCTGCCAACTGCACTCAGGTAAGAGGATGGAGGCAGGCACAGAAACCCACATCAAGCTGATTGCCCACCTTTAATTCCAGCACTTAGGAAGCAGAGCCAGGGTGATCTCTGTGAGTTGGAGGCCAACCTAGACTACATAGTGAGACCCTGTCTCAAAAAAAAAAAAAAAAGAAAAAGCAAAGAGAAGAAAAGAAAGGCGTGGTGGTGCACTTGGGAGGCAGAGGTAGGCAGATCTCTGAGTTGGAGGCCAGCCTGCTGGTCTACATAGTAAGTTCCAGGCCAGCTGGGGCTGCAGGGAGACCCTGTTTCAAAAAATAAAAAAAAAAAGAGAGAGTGAGAAACCTGGCTATTGAAGGGCTACTGGGAGAAGTGGAGGGGGAGGGGTCTCCTGCTACCACATCTGTCAGATTTCTCTCAGAGGGTCAAAGAACAAAGCCCCGTTTTAGAGGCACTGAGGTCCACTCACACTCTTCATACTTTATAGCTATCTGAGTGTAGAAGGGTTGTGGAGGGCAGTGGGAGGATCCGTTCTACCGACGTGGTGTGCCCCACAAGACTGGCTGGCCTCAACTCTGAACATCCTACACAGGTACTGGTGTGGCACACACGGACAGAGAAGCCCAAGATGAAGCAGGAGGAGCAGCTGCAGCGGCAGGGCCAGGGCTCAGATCCAGCCATTGAGGTGTGATGGTGGCCTCCCCCCAACTTCCACCTTATTTTAGGCACAGACTTTGTGGGACTGGGCTCCAGGCCAATCCAGGATGTGGTTTTCTAAGTCCTGACCCCTCAGAACCAGAGGCAGCCCCTCCAGCCACAGGGTGTGGCCCAGCTGCTTCTCTCCTCCCCCCAGCCTGCCATGGGGCACTGCCCACAGGCTGGGGACAAGCAGTCGTTTGTATTGAGCCAGGTTACCCCTGTATGGGGTAGAGTAGGACAGACAACCCAAGAGGGAGTGGCTAAGGAAATGGTAACTTACTGGGGACCAGCATGCACTGGGGAGCTGGAGGAGCTGGGCTGGACCCTCCCCACCTGAGCATGTGGACTCCCTTCCTACCTCCAGAATAAAAAAATCTCAACCAGGAGGGGCTTCGTGTTTCCCTTCACTGGGCACACCTCCCTGCTGCTCTCTGAGCATGAGAGATTTGGGATCCTTCTTTACCAGGCATCAGTTCTGTCAGGGCCCCATCCCCTTGACAAGAAAGAGCAGTGGCTTCCATCTAAAAACTTTATTGAATCTGTACACTAGAAGCAGTCTCTAGTTCTTTGGGTGTCACTTTCCTGTCATCCTGAACTATTCTGATCCCTGGTGGTTTGGGCTGAGCCGCAGGACACTCAGATTTGTTTTTACCTCAGGTTTCTAGCTCTAACTATTCTTAAGTCTTATAATCCCAGAGATCTTCCCTTCCCTGAGCCTTGGTAAAGAATCGCAAGTTTCTCCAGGTTTGTACATCCCTCCCTTCTTCCCTCCCCTCCTCCTCCCCCACCTATAGGACACTAGGCCTCAGGTAGAAAGAACATCCTTGGGTGGTTCCTCTTCTTGTGGGGCCTCCTCAGGTACTGGCCTGTGGGCAACACCCCCCTGAAGCCATGTAGCTTTCAATATCTCTTTCAGCCCAGCAGGAAAGAGATAGCCCTGGGTCACTCCATCCCCATCAATGGCTCGGCCAAGCCCCTCCAGTGCTGTCTGCAAATACCGCAAGCCAAGGAGCACTAGAGCCTGTGGGGGAATCGAGAGGAAAGAGTGGTGGGTCTGTGCATTTGGGACCACAGGGCAGGGGGGTAGGGCCCTTCCCAGGTGGAAGGAGGCCAGGGGCCCTTTGCTGACCCACTTCCAGCAGGAAGGTGACTGCCAGCATGCCTCCCAGTGTGCTTGACAAACCCCATAGGTGCCCTAGCAGCACCTCATGGCACCCTTGGGCCCAGAGGTTTAGATTGGGCTTTCGAGGATCAAAGAGGGGATGGGCATGGGGGTCTGAGAGTTGGCTTTGTAGGCAAGGATGGGGTGAATGGGGATTGCAACAGGTGAAGGGGACTCCATCAATCAGGTATAGGCCTTCCACATTGCTTTGGATCTGGCTGCAAGGGGATAAGCAAGAGTGTTAGATGTCTGAGGACAGAAGCCTGGGGGAGCAGCTGAGGACAGGGAGTTGAGACAGAAAATGATAGCAAAACATCTACTGAGTGCTTTACTATGCACCAAGCATGTTTAATTCACTTATCCGCACAACAACTCTGTAAGATAGGTACCTATCTGGAAGATAAAGGTAGCTATAGTTATTGGGAATGGGTCCAGAGTGGTTTGGCAACATGCCCCGCCTGAGCTGATAAACAAGAGCTATAACCCATTCTCCCAACCACTATGTTCTATTTATTGCACAATGGGCGAGGAGAGGTGGAGTTTCAAGGCAGAGGAAGGAGTCTAGGTAGGAGAAAGAGGAGGAAAAGGAGGAGGGGGGGAGGAGGAGGAGGAAGTGGAGGAAAAGAGAAGCAAATCAGTCACTCACTCAACCACATCCTGATCAGTGGGATCCAGGTAACGGTTGCTGGTTGCTGACCCACTGGACCCCAAACCAATCCTTGCAGCCATGGGTCCCACAGCAGTGGTACCTCGATCACAGCTCATCCATTAGTTGTGTGGCATGACAGTGCCCAGGCACCTCTGTGTCCTTGTAGTGAGCCAAGGCAGTCCCCAGGCCCTCCTCCAGTCCCTGATCCAGACTCACAGGTAAAACCAGGGCTAGCCCCAAGGCAAGGACCAGGAGCCCCCCACCTCCAGCAGTGCCAGTCACCAGCAGTGGACTCAGAACCCCTTTCCAGGGAGGGTATCTAGCTGCATCCAGACTTGCCTGGCTGGTTCCTGCCCCGACTAGTCCTGTGCTCAGAGCCACCGCACTTGCTGCCAGGGCAGTCTGGGGCAGGGCAGGGAATCGATAGGAGGGAGCCAGGAAGGTGCCAAGGTACCACAGCTGGACCAGGAGGTGCCCGCTACAGAGGAGGGTGAGGCCACCGGCCAGTGCCAGCAACCAGGAAAGGAACCAGAGTCCCGGTGCCAGACGGATGCGGGGTTGGAGGGATAGCACCGCGGCAGCACTGGCGCCATCTCCCATCTCTGCCAGAGGGAATGTGGAGCCGTCGGGGATGGGGGTTGGCCGGGGAAGGCAGGATGCTGAGTCGGCTCAGCCTGGCTTCAGCAGGGCTAATGCCATCCTGACCCCAATACCCTGGGCATCCTCCTACTCCAGCTTTATAACCCTCTGCCAGCCCCAATTCGGGATGCCTCGGCCTTGCCCTTTAGGAAGGCCCCGCCCCCAGGCAGAAGGCCCATTTTGTGACCCCGCCCTGCCCCTTCGCGGAAGTGAAAGTTTGGGCGGCCCGGTCCTGCCAGGCTCGGGGCTGCGAGCGCGACACCCCAAGACGGGTGTCCCTTCCCATAGCCCTAGGAGCTCCGGGGCGGGAGACGGACGAGGGCCTGGCGGGGTCAGGGGTCAGTCCGGTGCCTCGCCCCCGGCCGGAGCCTCGGGGCCCGGACAGTGAAGGGTTACCTGGTGGCCCGCCCCCCCCTCGGGCCCGCCCCCCCTCCCGCGCTAGCGGGCGGCTCTGCGTCCCGCGCCTGTTTGTGCTGCGGCTCTGGGGCCCGGGACGGCCCCGCCATCCCACTCCCGGGAGCCCAGAGCCGCCCCCGGAGAGTCGAGGCCCCGGCGGGCCCTGGAGACTGTGGTCCCGGCTCTACAGTGCCCCCTCCAGGCCCCGTCCGCGCGCCCGACAGCGCCCCCGGGGGTGGCACGGCCGCCCTTCGCGCGCGCCCCGGGGTGCTTGCTTCCCCTCTCCCCAGCCATGGCCCCTGCGGCTTAGACGCCGCCGCCTCCGCTGCCGCCGCTCAGAGCCACAAGGGGGCCAGATGGACGGGGCCCCGGGGCCCGGTGAGTACGGGGCGGGGCGGGCGGCGTGCCCCTTCCCGGAGCGCCGGCCGGCCGGGCGCTGCCAGTGCTGGACTGGACGGCTGTCTGGCGCGCCCGCGTGGTCCTTCGCCCCAGGGGCTCTGAGCATCCTCAGTTGTCCCGGTGCTCACTCTAGTTCCTGGCATCTCCTCCTGTCATTTCGGATTTCTTTAGCTGTCCTGCTCCGTGCTTCTCTGTGTCCCTGGAAATTTCCCTACCCCCTGTATCACTCTGGTCCTCTTCCCTGGGAAATCCGGATCTTTTTACTTCTGAGCCCCATGGTTACCTTGGGATGTACACTGTAACTACTCACAACTGATACCCTCAACCCTAGGTAGCCTTCCTTGTGCTCTGGCTGCTCAGTTTGACTTTTCAGTCCTGCCTCCTCTTTAGTGTCTCTGGCTCTGTGGCTATGCTTTTTGATAGAGACTTGAGCTTGCTGGTGGTGGGGTGGGAGAGTTGTGGTTCCTCACAGTACTGTGAGTCTCTCTGTGGCTCCCATGTACCTCGGCAGTACTCCATATTTTCTCCCTGGTACTCCATGGTACTCCCTGTTTCTGCGGAGGCTGAGACAGCGACAGGAAGGGAGCTTTGCCAGGCTCACTGCCTGCCTTGCCAGAAGGAGGGAGGCCCTTGAGCCTCTACCACCTATCTCCTCCCCTCTGAATGAGTGAGCCTTCAAGCCTGGGGCTGCTTGAAAGGGGCCATCCTACCAGACAGCTGTTGAGACTGTATGGAGACAGAACTCACCCAACCCTCTAGGTAGTGGCATTTTCTGAGTGCATCTTGCCCTTCTCCAGGTGAGGGTCCTGCTCAGGAGGCCCTGCAGTCCCTGAGCCAGAGGCTCAGGGTGCAAGAAGAGGAGATGGAGCTGGTAAAGGCAGCCCTGGCAGAAGCCCTTCGAGTCCTGCGGCTGCATTGCCCCCCTACCTCCTTGCAGAGCTCTGGTATACCAGCTTCTACAAGGAACAGGTAGGCATGTCAGCGCACCCCTTCTTCCTTCCTGGGAACTCTGAAGCATCAGATTGATTTGCTATCTCCTCAGCAGCCTTACAGCCCCTCCAGGACTGCCACCTACCTGCAGCCCTTCTCTGGTGAGCCGAGGCACCCAGACAGAGGAAGAGTTAGAGACAAAGCCATCCTCTGAACCCCCTGGCCTGAGCAATGGGCCTTCAGCCCCTCAGGGGGCCAGCGAAGAGCCCAGTGGGACCCAGTCTGAAGGAGGGGGCAGCAGCAGCAGTGGGGCAGGCTCGCCTGGCCCTCCAGGGATCCTCAGGCCTGTGCAGCCCCTTCAACATGCTGACACGTACGTGCCCTGTGGCAGAGGCTGGGATGGTTGACAGGCTGGGATGGTTGACAGGATTGAGAAGTAGGGCTAAAGGGCTCGACTGTCACCTCTTCACTCTGCCCCACTAGGCCACGAAGAAATTCCTCCTCCTCCTCTCTCTCAGAGCGGCCCCGGCAGAAACTCTCCAGGAAGGCAGCTTCCTCAGCCAACCTGCTGTTGCGGTCAGGGAGCACAGAGAGGTGGGCAGTCGTTCCCCTCTACTGGCTGTACCCCTGGCTCAACTTCTTGACTTTCTCCATTCCTGGGTGGGGTGGGTGACCTCATCACCCAACAGGAAGAAAGAAATAAGCATTGCTTGGGACTCCTCCAGCTAAGCTCTTCACCTCCTTCATATCATTCAGCCCCTACACCCTTGGTGGGTGGGTGATCTCATGCTGTCCATTGTACAGGTGAAGCAGGCTCAGAGAGGGAAACCACTGCCTGAGGTCACAGAGTCAAGATTTGAACCCAACCTTTCCTGATTCCAGTTCTGCTGACCTTTTCTAATATTTTATTATTTTTATTTTATGTATATGAGTGTTTTGCCTGCATGTATGTGAATGCATCTGTGTTGTAATATTTTGAAGCCAGAAAAGGTTGTCAGATCCCCTGGAACTGGAATTAGGGATGGTTGTTAGCTGCCATGTGGGTGCTGGGAACCAAACCCAGGTCCTCTGCAAGAGTAGCCAGTACTCTTAACCACCTGATCTTTTCATAACACCATGTACCTTTCAAAGACTGCAGGAACTTTTTTTTTCTTTTTATGAGACAGAGTCTTACTCTTGGCTGCTCTGGAATTCATTTTGTAGCCAAGATTGGCCTAAAACTCACAGAAGTCTTCCTTTCTCAGCCTCTTGAGTACTGGTGATATTTTTGTTTTCTTTTTTAAAATTATTTTTATTATGTGTGTATGAGTATTTTGCCTGCATGTGTGTAAGTGCACCCATGTCATGCAGTGCCTGCCCACAGAGGTCAGAAGAGGGTGTCAGATCCCCTGGAACTGGAGTTACAGACAATTGTTAGCTGCCATGTGGGTGCTGGGAATCAAACCTGGGTCCTCTGAAAGAACAGCCAGTGCTCTTAACTGCTGAGCCATCTCTCCAGTCCTTTCTTTCTTTCTTTCTTTCTTTCTTTCTTTCTTTCTTTCTTTCTTTCTTTCTTTCTTTCTTCTCTCTCTCCTTTCCTTCTTTCCTGTCTCCATCCCTTTCTTCCTTCCTTCCCTTCTCTCATTTATGTAGACCAGGCTGGTCTCAAATTCACTCACAGGATCCATTTGCCTCTGCCTCCTGAGTGCTGGAATTAAAGGCATACACCACCACACCTGTTCCACTTTTTTGTTTGTTTTGGTCTTTTTGAGACTGGGTCTCCCTGTAGCCCCAGCTGGCCTGGAACTCACTGTGTAGACCAGGCTGGCCTTAAACTCACAAAGATCCACCTGCCTCTGCCTCCCGAATGCTGGAACTAAAGGCATGCACCACCACATCTGGCTGATTTATTTATTTTTATTTTATGTGTAAGGGTGTTTTGCCTAGGGCTGGAGAGATGGCTCAGCACTTAAGAACACTGGTTGTTCTTACAGAAGACCTGGGTTTGAATCCCAGCACCTACATGGCAGCTAATAACCGTTCTTTAACTCCAGTCCCAAGGGATCAGACAGCCTCTTCTGACCTCTGTGGACATTGCACGACATGGGTACACTTACCTACATGCAGGCAATACATGCATACACATAGAATAGAAATAATTTAAAAAATTTTAAAAGAGTGTTTTGCTTAGATATATGTATACTGGTGTTGCACAATGCCCACAGAGGCTGGAAGAGGGCATTGGCCCACTGGAACTGGAGTTGTGGATGGTTGTTAGTTGCCATGTAGGCGCTCAGAACCAAACCCAGGTCCTCTGCAAGAGCAGGCAGTGCTCTTAACCAGTGAACTGTTTTTCTAGCACCACCCCCCAGCCTTTCTTGGTCTCTATTTTCTTCTCTGAAGAGCTAATATCAGTTTATCACCCAGTGACAGTGATCTCTGGAATTCAGCTGTCCCTTTCTTGTGAGAGGTAAGGCCTTTGTTGCCTACCTCCCAGATTCCTGAAAGGCAGGTCTGGTATTGGTATACACTTTCCATTTACTTTGACCCCATTTTACAAATACAGAAATGAAAATGTTGGTAGAGGTCTGGAGGAAAGGTCATAGGCTGCAAGCTTTGTGGTCCTGTCCTATCTATTTTATCTCTTTTTTCTTTCCTTATTACCTCCTTCCCTATACCCCCCCCTTCTTTTTCCCTTTCTTCCATTGGAATTAAAAGTTCTCATCTCTCTAGGGCCCTGTTGCTCTGATAGCACCCTCACACGAGCAGGGTTGACTTGGAAGGAACCTCCTGTCTGGCTTGCCCCTCGCCCCTCAGGTTATGGGACCTGATCCTAGTCCCTGTGCTTTTACCTCTTCCCAATAGCCGTGGGAGCAAAGACCCCCTCTCCAGCCCTGGGGGTCCTGGATCTCGGAGGAGCAATTATAACTTGGGTATGTACGCAGTGGCAGAGGGAAGAACCTGGACGACAGAATCAGTGTTTGGGTTATACCCCAGGAGCTATTTGCGGGGAGCTGTCAAATATGGCGGGTGTATTGCTCTGGCTTTCCTGGGTGGAAGGCTGACCCCTCCACTTTTCTCTGCAGAAGGCATCTCAGTGAAGATGTTCCTTCGTGGCCGCCCCATTACCATGTACATCCCATCCGGCATCCGAAGCCTTGAGGAGCTGCCCAGTGGCCCACCCCCGGAAACTCTCAGCCTTGACTGGGTGTATCCTACCCTCCAGTCCTATGGCGGACCCCCCTTTCCTTCTTTATAGTTTCTTCTTGAGTCTGTGGAGACAGAGAACCTTCTGAATTGTTCCCACTACCCTTCTGCAAGCAGCAGTGTCAGCGGAAAGTTTTGTCCTTTTCATGCTCCCCTCTCTTCTCTGGATTCTGATCCTTTCCTTGACTATGGCTCCCACTTCAGTTATGGGTACAGGGGTCGTGACTCTCGCTCTAATCTGTTTGTGCTGCGTTCTGGAGAGGTGGTCTACTTTATCGCCTGTGTGGTGGTACTGTACCGGCCTGGGGGAGGCCCGGGGGGTCCTGGAGGTGGTGGCCAGCGACATTACCGGGGACACACAGACTGCGTTCGATGGTGAGGGGCCTGGGGGCCTGGGGTTGGTGGGCTTGGCAGGAAGGAGGTCTGGCTGGGTGTAGAACGGCAGGAGAGACAATTGTCTTGCTGCTTTTCAAGCAAGGAGGAGCTGTCTTGGACGGTCTTAAGAGACACTCCCCCCCCCCAACTTAGCCTCGCTGTTCACCCTGATGGTGTTCGTGTAGCCTCAGGACAGACAGCTGGAGTGGACAAGGATGGAAAGGTAAGGTCATAGTGGAATATCAAGCAGACAGGATGCGATTTCCAGCCCAGTTTTTCCTGCAAAGCCCTGACCCCTTCCCTTGTTTCAGCCCCTGCAGCCTGTGGTTCACATCTGGGACTCAGAGTCACTCCTGAAGCTACAGGAAATTGGACTGGGGGCCTTTGAGCGTGGAGTTGGGGCTCTGGCGTTTTCATCAGTGGTGAGCTGGGCACAAAGCTTTTGAACTCCTATTTTTTTTTTTTTTGAGGCAGGGTCTTATGAAATTTAGGCTGGCCTGTAGCTCCCTATGCAGTTTAGGATGTCCTTGAACTCCTACTCCTCCTGCCTCCACCTTCTGAGTATCAGCATCATAGGCATGTGCTACTGTGTTCCGCTAGACCCCTATTCTTGCCCAGTACTCTTTCATTTCATCAGGAATCCTGGGAAGTTGTGCTGTCCTGAGCCTGCACCCAACCAGTACTTCTAAGAGACATGTGTCGACTTCTGTCTCCCAACCTATGATAGAACTCCTATGTAATGGCCAGGAATGCCTAGACCTCCAGTGTTCAGGGCTCTGCTGTATCTCCATCCTCAGGATCAAGGTGCTTTTCTTTGTGTGGTGGATGATTCCAATGAACACATGCTGTCAGTGTGGGACTGTAGCCGGGGAACGAAGCTGGCTGAGATCAAGGTGAGGAACCCAGGTGGCTTGGTGGTCTCGAACTTGGCGAGTGGGAGTGGTGGAGTAGAGAGAGAGTTCCAGACATCCCTATACATTTACTTCCTCTCTGACTGGGGCAAAGCTGCCAGCTTTGGTTTCTTCATCTGTGAAATGGGAACTACTGTAGTTCTGATAGGGAATAAAATTCTTAGGGGACCAGTTTCTTTTTTTTTTTTCTTTCTTTTCTTTTTGTAGTGCTGGGGTCAAACTCAGGGCCTTGAGTATACCAGGCAAGCATTCTATCACTGAACTATACCTCCAGCCTAGGACCACAGCTTGAAGGAAGATTGTCTTGGAGCTTCTGCAGGCCAGCTGTCAGATGCAGATTGAGTTAAGGAGAGTAGATTTTGTTGGCACAAGCCTATAATCCCAGCTACTCCAGAGGCTGAGCTGGAGAATAGGAAGTTCAAGGCCAGCCTGGGAGCACAAGGCCAGCCTAAGAAACAGTGAGACTTAGTCTTAAAATAAGAAAAAAAAAAAAGAGGGCTGACGATGCAGTTTAACAGTAGGGGGATTAGCTAGCATGCACAAGGCCCTAGGTTCAATACCTGCGTACTGCAATAATAAAAATAAATGGAAGAGTCATGTATATAGCTCATGCCTGCAATTCTGGTACCTGGGAGGCTGAAGCAGGAGGATCACTGAGAGTTCAGCTCAGCCTGGGCTACATACTGAGTTCCAGGCCACAGCTGGTCTACAGAACGAGAGGCTGTCTGAAAAACAACAGCAAAATAAAAAAGGCATGCATGGTGGTGTATATCTACAATCCTAGTATTTGGAAGGCAAAGGCAGGAGGATCGGGTGTTCAAAGCTCCTCCTCAGCTGACTACCTAGGGAGTTCTGGGACAACCTGAGATACATGAGACCCTGTCACAAGAAATAGATGAGAAAGTTGAAGAGTAAAGAAAGGAGGGTGCTCAGGGCTTAGGGTGGCCGAATCAAGTGTCTTCCCTTCTTCAGAGTACGAATGACTCAGTCCTGGCTGTTGGCTTCAGTCCTCGTGACAGCAGCTGTATTGTCACCAGCGGAAAATCTCATGTCCACTTTTGGAACTGGAGTGGTGGAGCAGGGGTTCCAGGGAATGGGACCCTCGCCCGGAAACAGGGTGTTTTTGGGGTGAGCTGTGGATGAGTGAAAGGCGGTGGGGAGGGCAGAGTGGGACTGGAAGGATTGGTCTGAGTACTGTAGATCCTCAGGTACCCCACTACTCCCAACTCTCCATGACATCCGGACGTTCCCTTTGACCTCTGCTCTCTGGCCCCTCCAGAAATACAAGAAACCCAAGTTCATCCCTTGCTTTGTGTTCCTCCCGGATGGAAACATTCTCACTGGAGACTCCGAGGGGAACATTCTCACCTGGAGGCGGAGTGTCTCCGATTCTAAGACCCCAGGCAGGGGTGGGGCCAAAGGTATGTGCTTGGAGCTAGCATCTAGGATGTTTGTACCCCAGAAAGTCTATGGGAGCATGGGAGAGGTTTCCCATCTTTTTACCTTGAGAACTGATCATTCTCTAGGGGAATGAGCTAGACGGGTAGGGGACTATATGGCAAAGGAGAGAGGACGAGGGATTTGGATTTGTCAGCTCTCAGGTTTAGAGTTGTTTGCCACACTTCTCAGAGCTGTACTGGCAGTCAGGAGGTAGATAGTATTCTGTAGGTACTAAGTAGCTGGGAGTTATTACTTTACTGTAATGGCCAAAGGGGCCCCTTTTCCTACTTCCCTGAACTCTAAAGGCAGCCTACCTGGGGCTTTACCAACAGAGACCTACACAATTGTGGCCCAGGCACATGCTCACGAAGGTTCCATCTTTGCCCTGTGTCTCCGGAGGGACGGGACAGTGCTGAGTGGTGGTGGGCGAGACCGCCGGCTGGTACAGTGGGGGCCTGGGTTGGTGGCCCTCCAGGAGGCTGAGGTGAGACCTGGGCTGAGGTCAGGGGGTGGGGAGAAAAGGAATGGTCAGTGGGTTCCTGACATTGTTACTACTCTGCAGATTCCAGAACACTTTGGGGCTGTGAGGGCCATTGCTGAAGGGCTTGGTTCTGAGCTGCTGGTGGGCACCACAAAGAATGCATTGCTGAGGGGAGATTTGGCTCAGGGTTTCTCCCCTGTTATCCAGGTTGGGAAGCCAAAAGCCAGGGGAAGAGGTGGGGGAAGGGAGGTGGAAAGGAGCAGTGGTGACAGGTCATGCTCTGTTTTAGGGCCACACTGATGAGCTCTGGGGACTGTGTACACATCCCTCTCAGAACCGCTTCCTCACCTGTGGCCACGACCGGCAGCTCTGCTTGTGGGATGGGGAGGGCCATGCGTTGGCCTGGAGCATTGACCTAAAGGTAGTAGCCACCCTTGGTCCTCATGCCACCCTTTCTATGACTCCCAATGACCTTTCCTTCTACATCTGGGACAGCCATTTGTATTATGGTTATAAGGCTATTCAAATGGGAATTCTGTACAGAGTAGTAAAAGCATTGCCCCTGCCTCAGGCTTTGTCTTGGTCCAGCAAAAAGGTTCACTTATAGCACAGGTAGGTGATTAGGTGTTTTCAGTCTTTCCCTGATTTGCTCCAGTCACCCTGCCTCCATCCCATCCATGTCTCCTGTCCCCTTCTTCTCTGGTCTTCTTGGGAAGAGTCTTTAAAGGAACCCAGATGACAAGGTGTTGTTAAAATTCCCTCACTAGAAAAACATTTTATTAAACTTTGGGTTTCTGTTTGTTTTTTGAGATAGTCTCCCTGTAGTCTCAGCTGGCCTAAACTCTTTATGTAGACCCCACTACCACGCCCAGTCTTAAACTTTTATTATTTTGGTTTGGGAGACATGGTTTCCCTGAGACAGGGTCTCTCTGTAGTCCCAGCTGGCCTAGAATTTACTATGTAGACCAGGCTGGCCTTAAACTCACAGAGATCCACCTGCCTCTGCCTTGGGAATGCTGGGATTAAAGGCATGAGCCATCACGTCTGGCTGATTTACCTATTTTGATTTTCTGTGTATGAGTGTTTTGCCTGAATGGAAGTTCACGTGTTGTGCAAAGCCTACATAGGCCAGAAGACATTGGGTCCCCTGGAACTTGAGTTAAGGATGGTTGTTAGCCATGTGGGTGCTGGGAATTGAACTTGGGTCCTCTGGAAGAACAGCCACTGCTCTTAACCACTGAGACATCTCTCCATTCCCCAAACTTTATTTTTTAATTCTCATTCTCATACATACTTAGTTTTGGTTGTAGTCTAGGCCCTTTCCTCCCCTATCTCCCTGGCCCCCATCCCCTGCATCTTAAGTCCCTGGTATTTCCCTTTATACTTTCATATCTTGCCTCCACCCCTAGCCCCACCCCCACCCATCTCACAGGCCTCTTAGAAAGGCATTTTCCTGAATTTATCTTCTCTTCTCCCAGGAGACTGGTGTCTGTGCTGACTTCCACCCAAGTGGGGCAGTTGTGGTTGTAGGACTGAACACTGGGAGGTGAGAGATGACCAGGACTCCTGTGAGGGAAAGCAGGGAGATCTGGGTAGGGTTCCTGGTAATAGGGGAAGGGACAAGAGGTGACCAAGGCTGCTTAGGTGCCCAACTGCATCTTTCCATGTCTCGATGCTTCTGTATAGCCCAGGCCTCCCCTACATTGTTACACAGCCTGTGACTATCTCCAAGCCTTTCCAAGATACACTCTCTGAGTCTGGGAGGGTTCCTGGTAATAGGGGAAGGGACAAGAGGTGACCAAGGCTGCTTAGGTGCCCAACTGCATCTTTCCATGTCTCGATGCTTCTGTATAGCCCAGGCCTCCCCTACATTGTTACACTGCTTGTGACTATCTCCAAGCCTTTCCAAGATACACTCTCTGAGTCTGGGAGCAGAGGGGGTGGCAGCCCAGGATGGAGAAGCAGTGGGATTAGGAGGGTGACAAGCAGGGAAGTGATAGGCTTACTAGCTCCACAGGCTCTTATGGCAGGCCTAGTCTCTAGTTTTTCAGCATAGCTCTAGTGCAAGGAGCATCTGACTTCTTATCCAGGAGGCATCAGAAGCCCCTCAGCTTTTATCTGCCCTTAGCTTCTTCTCAGTTCTCAGTGTAAGAATGCAATGATGGCTTCTCTTCCAACATCACAGCTTTTGAGGTTCTCTGACTCACATCCCCTCATTTCCTGCCCAGAGCCCCACTGGGGGTAGCCTCACAACCTATCCTTTTGCTTCCCTCTCTTCCTTCCTTCTAGGTGGTTGGTTTTGGACACAGAGACCAGAGAGATTGTATCTGATGTCACTGATGGCAATGAACAGCTCTCAGTTGTCCGGTACAGCCCAGGTGGGAGCCCCCCCACCCCTGGACTGCAGAGTCTTCCTTGGCCCTTCTCTCTCTGAGTAACTCTCTTTGCAGATGGATTGTACCTGGCCATTGGTTCCCATGACAACGTGATCTATATCTACAGCGTTTCCAGCTGTGGTACCAAGTCCAGTCGCTTTGGCCGATGTATGGTGAGAAAGTCAGGGTTAGGGGTGGGATAGGTTAATTGTGGGCATGCTAACTTAGGCCTGATGCATTAAGGGAACATGGCTAACTTGTTAAGCTCTTGACTCTCATTCTCCAGGGTCACTCAAGTTTCATCACTCACCTTGACTGGTCCAAGGATGGGAATTTCATCATGTCCAATTCTGGAGACTATGAGATTCTTTACTGTGAGTGGCAGTGAGGAGGATAAATGAAACCTGTCTTTTTTTTTTTTTTTTTTGGGGGGGTTGAGACAAGGTCTCCCTGTAGCCCAGCTGTCCTAGAACTCACTATGTAGACCAGGTTGGCCTTGAAATCAGAGATCCGCCTGCCTCTGCCTCCTGAGTGCTGGGATTAAAGGCATGTGCCACCATGCCAGGCTTTGAAAGTCAATTTGGGGGGGGGGAGAGGGGAGGAAAAAAAAAACCTTTTTTTTTTTTTTTTTTTTTTTTTTTTTGGTGGGGGTTGGGACAGGATCTTTCTAGATAGTGCTGGCCTGGAATTCACTGTGTAGCCCAGGATGGCTTTGAACTAGTGATCTTCCTGGTTATGCTTCCTGAGTACTGGGATAACAGCTGTAGGCAACCATACTAGGTGCTGGTGGGAGGGTCCTAGTTAGAGGGGGATGAATACTGGAGGAGCATCAAGCAGAGAGCTGACAGATGGAAAGGTGGGGATAGGGTTAAAATGGAGTTGGAATTGTACACATGGGGTAAATTTTGTAATTTGGGAAGGTAAATCAGTTTCATATCGCATCTACTTGAGGGAGTTGAAAAATGCACTAAGAAAAGATTATTTTGGAAAAGTTTCTCAGGGTAGGGGTGGAAGGGTTAACTTATTTAGGAAGGAGAAACTGAAGAGCTGTTAGAACTTTATCCAGAGGCAGGAGGACCAAGAGCCAGTTAAAGCTAGACTCTCTGAAAACGGAACCAGCAGGGCCTGGTGGATCTCTTTGCCTTGGAGGCCAGCTTGGTCTACATCAGTAGCTCTAGACTTGCTAGGTTTACATAGTGGGACTTTGTTTCAAAAACAACTACCACCCCCACCCCCCAAAGAAAACAACATAACTGATCAAAGCCAAACCAAATAACTTCAGCAAGAAGTCAGGAAGCACACAAGTGGGTTTCACAACGGAGGGCCACCCCTATGATGAGGTCACATTCCCAACTGTGGGAAGAGTGAAAAGCTGAGCTGGGTTGGGCAACCTCTCTACCTAGGGGACGTGGCTGGAGGCTGCAAACTACTAAGGAATCGCTATGAGAGCCGAGACAGGGAATGGGCTACCTACACCTGTGTGCTGGGCTTCCATGTCTACGGTGAGCAGCCAGCCAGGACAGGGCCCTGGGGTCTTTTAGGAGGGCTGGAGACAAAGTGGACCCAGTTCTGGGCTCAGAATGCTGGGTATGTGTTGTGAGGTGAGGTGGGCGTCTTACCGCCAAATTCAGCCCAAATCCCTTTGTCCCATGGGGCTGGGAAGGGTTGCCTGGAACATGGCCAGTGGGTGAAGCCGGAAACAGGGTTGTGGGTGGCGGCCTGCCTGAGCCGCCTACTGTGTTAGGTGTTTGGCCGGATGGCTCCGATGGGACGGACATCAACTCTCTGTGCCGCTCTCACAATGAACGAGTGGTGGCCGTGGCGGACGACTTCTGCAAAGTGCACCTCTTTCAGTACCCGTGCGCACGCGCCAAGGTGAGGCCGCTGGGGACCATCCGGCCCAGGTGGGCAGGCCTGGGGCCTCTGCCGTCGCTTCAACTCTACTTTTCTTCTGGCCCAGGCGCCGAGTCGTATGTACGCGGGCCACGGGAGCCACGTGACCAGCGTCCGGTTCTCGCACGACGACTCGTACCTAGTCTCGCTGGGTGGCAAGGATGCCAGCATCTTCCAGTGGCGAGTGCTCAGCGCTGGGGGCGCCGGACCGGCTCCGGCCACGCCCTCTCGAACTCCCTCTCTGTCCCCGGCCTCCTCCCTGGACGTCTGATCGCAGCTGGACAGGACACACTCGTCCTGCAGCCTGGTACGGCTCTGGCCGCTTCGGCCGAAACCCCGGGACCAAGGGCAGCCCTCTCCTTGGCTGACTTTTTGACTTCGGTACATTCCCAACCGCGCTCTTGCACATCCGTTAAGACCTGCCGGGCAGCCCCAGCCCGGGTTCTGACTCCCGCTGCCTGCTGAGGGGCAATAAAAGAAAACAAAGTCGCCTCCCGGTGCTTTTGTGGGACGCGGCGGGCGCCCGAGGGGCCCAGTGGGGTGAGGATGAAAGAAAAAGTACAGGGCGGGATCCTAGACCAAACATGCAAATGACAGGCAAAGCCGCTAGCAAATAACCCACTGGCGCAGCGGCGGAGATCCCGAGTGCAGAGAGTTAAATCCAGCTCCTCCGCCCGCCCTCGGGGGCGGGGCCGGGCCGCAACGGAAATAACCGAGCGCGGGGCCGCGGCTGAGCGAAGGGAGCCGAGTTCCTTCCGGAAGTGGCCGATCGGTGAGGTCTTGCTCCCCGACCTGAGCCGAACGCCGGGCCTTGTTCTCCGGATCGGCCGAAGGTGTTCCGGAAGGAGGCGAACCCCGGCGCGGGCACGGTAAATCTTTCCCCGGGCTGGCGGAGCACCACGTCTGCTGGGACGCGGAGAGGACGCGAGCAGCCGGAACCTGACTCCGGTCCGGCAGAAAGCGAGCTCATTCCGGAAGACGCCAAGCAGACCAGGTGCCGGCCTCCGCGTCCCGGGCGTGAGGCTGTAGCGGCGGCGACCGTGCTGGCCGCGATGAACCGCGACGGCTGAGCGAGTGAGGGTGCCTGCTGCGCGGGCCCCGTCGACACTTCCGCCAAGAGCCAGCCCCGCGCTGGGGGCCTCGCCTGGAGCCGAGCTTTGCCCCCGCGAGCCTCCCGCACCTCTTTGTGCGGCCGGAGGCGGCGGCGGGAACGGCCATGGCGGCCAACATGTACCGGGTGGGAGGTGAGTACGCGGGCCGGAAGAGCCTGGGAGACTTCGTGTCTGCCGACGCGGTGAGCCACGTCTGGGGCCGCACTGGCCGAGGTGCAGACCGGAACCGGAACCGGGGCGGGATGGTGCCGCGACGGCGACGCTGCGGGGCGCCGGGTCCCGCGGGGAGGCTAGCGGGCTGTGCGGACTGCGCCGGGAGACCTGGCCCGGGATCTCTGGGCGGGAAGTGGGCTTGGGACACTGGCTCCTTAGGGGCGACCAGGCTGCCGGGGCCCCGGACTGGGCCCGGCCAGGTGCAGGGGAGCCAGCCGTTCTGAGCGAGATTATCTGATCACGAAGGAAGGGGCCCCGAGGTGGAGTGAGCCAATTTGCGCATTTCTCCGACACCCCGGGTGCAACTGCATCGCGGAGTTTTGGGGATTCCGGGAGAATCCTTACTTCTCATCTCTTAAGCCTCACTTTTGAGTAAGGATCTGACTTTAGAACTAGATGCGGCGAGAGGGGGGAGTATCCTTATTTTCTTGTCTCCGCTCAACCCATGTCAGCGTCGTCTCTACCTGTAATTCTGTCTCCTTTTGGTACACACCGACTTTCTGTCTTTCTGATACTCGGGTTCTCTCTGATCTTTACGGTTCTTCCCCACCCCCTCTCACAGATTACGTCTATTTTGAGAACTCCTCCAGCAATCCTTACCTGGTTAGACGGATTGAGGAGCTCAACAAGGTGAGTAGAGAAGAAGCTGCCCTGCCCCCAAGGGGTCTCGTCTGGTATCTAACTACAAGTGGAAGGAAGACCCCCCTCCCCCAATGCTCAGCCTATTTAAGTGAACAGTCATTCATTCATTCGATGAATACAGTAAAGGTTACTGAGAGCTTAGTGGGAAGTTTACTGTCAGTTGGGGTAACGGAAAGGAATTTGGAACTTTTTTTTTTTTTGTCTTTTTGTGACAGGGTCTCCCTGTAGCCCCAGCTGGCCCGGAACTTGCTATGTAGACCAGGCTGACCTCCAACTCACAAAGATCTGCCTGCCTCTGCCTCCAAAGTGCTGGGATTAAAGGCGTGCGCCACCACACCCGGCGGAATTTGGAACTTTTTATATTTATGTATTTATTTATTTAGAGGTAGTTTTCTGTAACCCCAGCTGGCCTAGAATTTGCTTGCTCTGTAGACCATGCTGGTCTCCATCTCAGAGATTAGCCTGCCTCTGTCCCCAAGTGCTGTGATTAGAGGTGTGGACCACTGCACCCAACTACTTTTATTTGCTTATGTGGGATGGGGGTAGGTAGGTCATGGCACCTATGTGAAGGTCAGAGGACAACTTGCAGGAGCTGATTCTCCCTTGTACCATTTGATTGGGTCATGTGGATCAAACCCAGGTCATCAACCAGGCTTGGCAACAAGCACCTTTATCCTGGGAGCCAACTTGCTGGCCCTAGAATTCTGTCTTAAAATGCTAAATCTTTACTGCTAATTTATTGGTCTCTTCTGCTTAGGTCCCTTAGAAATTTATTGACCGTTGCCTCTTCTTTGTGCATGTCCACTTACAAATGACCAGTTTTCATTGCTGTTTTTCTCCCTTCCTTAGACTGCAAATGGAAACGTGGAAGCAAAAGTTGTCTGTCTTTTCCGGCGAAGGGATATTTCTAGTAGCCTCAACAGCCTAGCAGATAGCAATGCTAGTGAGTGTCTTCATTCCTCCCCTCTCTCTTGGCTCCCCAGGCCTTAGGCTTAGGCATGTCCCTACAGGTGTTTCCCCTGGTAGCATGCCCAAGGCAGGGTGTGAGTTTGGGGGTGGGAAGTGCCTGATCTGCAGAGGGAGGCTTGTTGTTGCATGTTGGGGCTGAAAGCGGATGGAGAGACTGTGATAAGGAAAGCCAGAATATGGTTTCTGATGTGAATATGTGTGTGAGAGGAGAATGTTTAGATAAAGGATGGAAAGCACTTTAGAGAAGCAAAGCACTGGGGGAACAATGGGTATGGAGTATGGTGGTCAAGATGCTATCTGGAGAAGCCTGCATAACCCAAAAGCAGCTTCTCTTGTTCTGTGGTGGTAAGACAGTAGGCAGCTAGGAAATGGCAGGAGGCTTTCTTTCTTGGGCTCCCATTTCCTCCTTTGCTGCGTGGGCATCTACCTGCCTTTCCTTCCTCTCATTCCCTTTGTGTGCTCATCTTCTAAATTTTTTCCCCTTTAGTTTTCTTGAGCTGTTTTTCCCTTTCCTTGTTTTTTTTTCTCCTTCCTTATGTTCAGCCTCCCTATTTTCCTTTTTTCATCTTTAGTCATGAAAGGGTTAATGAGCTGGGCCTACCAAGTTCCCTGTCCCTTTGGGGTTTCCAGCCCCATCTGGCAGGGGCTGACCTTGGCCTTGTCCAATCAGAAGGGGTGGGGGTGTGGTCCCCCTCCCCTTAGCCCTGGGTTTCTGGGAGCACACTGGGGAGAGGTGGAGCTTAACACACACACACACACACACACACACACACACACACACACACACAGGAGAGGTGGAGCTTAACACAGACACACACACACACACACACACACCCTTTCAGGGAAACAATGCACACAGACACACACACACCCTTTCAGGGAAACAATGTGCCAATGGGCCTAGGTTTTCCTGTCCCCTTCCCACTTTAGTTGGCACCTAGCCAGGTTAACCTTTTCTACCAAGAAGCTGCTGCTTCTTGGGAAGGAAGATGTTGGTACTGGCTTGGGAGGTGCTATCCTTCAGAGCCCCACAAATTATTATTAGTCAAATAGAAAGGGAGGGATAGTTAGTGTCGAATGTGACGTTTCAGACAGAGCAAGGAGTCTCCTGAGATCTGAAAAAGAGGAACTGGTAAACAACTCGTGGGTACTATTCTTACATCTTGGGTTCCTGGACATCAGGCTGGTTGAGCAAGAAAGCTAAGCATGATGTACTTGTGGTAGTATTTGCTTTCTGGATGGTGTCAACATTGGCGGCTGGTTTGGGATGCTTTTCTATGGTGTTCTTATACTCCCACAGTTCTTCCCTTGACAGTATTAAAGATAGAATTGTGATCCTCTATAAGGAGGCCTACGGCCAAGAGGGAAAGCTGGTAGGGAAAGAGTGAGATGCCTGTGGAAAGTAAGGCAGAACATTTGAGATGGGAAGCATTTTCCCTTGGTTAGCGTTTCCAAGGTACCTTCTTTTTGAATCAGTTTCTGACTTGGTTTCTTCTTCCTTAATGTCCTAGGGGAGTTTGAAGAGGAATCAAAGCAGCCAGGGGTGTCTGAACAGCAGAGACATCAACTGAAGCACCGGGAGCTTTTTCTTTCTCGGCAGTTTGAATCTTTACCAGCTACCCACATAAGGTACAGGACAGTCAGGGCCAGTGTGGCCTGAGTGCCCTCATTTAGAAGATGGAGAGGAAGGGGTGGTATATTGGAGATGGTATAGAGAGGGAATGAGTTGCTCATCCAGGGTTTTCTGACTTGTCTTTCATAGGGGGAAATGCAGTGTGACACTCTTGAATGAGACAGATATCTTGAGCCAATACCTGGAAAAGGAGGTGAGGAGGTTTTGGGAGAAAAGGGCAGGGGGAGGGCATGTTCACAAAAGATGTTGAGGTAAAGGGTTGACTGCCTGGCTGGGGAACACTGGTTACACCTCATGGCTCCCTCCTGTGTGGATTGCTGCCCTGCTTATCTCCTCTCTCCCCATCTCTAGGACTGCTTTTTTTACTCACTGGTATTTGACCCTGTGCAGAAGACACTTCTAGCTGATCAAGGGGAGATCAGAGTTGGTTGCAAATACCAAGCTGAGATCCCAGATCGCCTGGCAGAAGGTAAGCACCAGGACAGAGGCTCTAGAGCATGACAGTTGCTGTGGATGGCATCATCTGGGGTATGCAGTAAACAATCTGCCAGGTTTTCTGATGTGACCCTGACCTAGGAACCTGAGAGAGACAAATGGGCACAACTGAAAGGGGAATTCTGAGGAAGTGCTATTGTGAGTGATTGAGAGACCAGTTCTTTCCCTCCTCCCTGGTGATACTATTGCTTGATTCTTCAGGAGAATCGGATAATCGAAACCAACAGAAAATGGAAATGAAAGTCTGGGACCCAGATAACCCTCTCACAGACCGGCAGATTGATCAGTTTCTCGTGGTGGCTCGGTGAGGGGTGGGTGGGTGG